ATGAAAAATGCAAAAAAAAAAAAGGGACAAACAGACGTCCTGCTGAAATAGACAATCTAGGACCTCGCCTTGCCACATGCTGAAATGACTGGTGCCGTCGAAGATCTCCACCGAGAGTCTGACGTTCGGCATCACCATCCTTGTCGGAATGAATTCAGAAGATGATGCGCCCTTGACCTCCTTGGACATCTCGGACTTGAATGCAGTGCTCGCCTCTTTGAATGAGCATGAGACGAAGCTTCGGCTCTGATACCACTTGTTGGGGCATCACAACAAGCGCAGGGGACAAAAATACCGCTCCAACAAATATGACAAGCACTACTCCAAACGAAAAATAAGGCAACACAAATAAATAAAGACGAGAAAGAAAAAATGAACACAAATATTGATAACGGAGTTCGACGAAAATAGCCTACGTCTACTGGCACCGCCAACCACAACACCAAATTTACCAAACTCACCAACAAATACAACTAGGGTTAAACAACCCACAAATTAGGATTTCTTTAATTAAGGATTTTCTTCTAAGAGAGAAGAGAATAAAATAAGGTGCAATTGTAACCCAATGACAAGAGACCTATCTATCTATCTATACTATTATAAAAGTGCCAATGAATCTGTAAAAATATGATATGCCTAAAATAACCATACTATGTAGTTTAATTTTCTAACATTCTACCAACAATTGGCTGGCAGCGAAGTATAGTTTGTACGCAATATAAACCTGCTTTAAAATCTAATTTATGGCCCAATCTTAGCGAAGAGTTTTAAAAATTTCAAACTCCATTTATTTAATTACATGCTTTTTGTTGCGTAAAAACAAAATCTGTATTTAAAAAATGAAATCAATCAAAAAAAAAATGATAATAGCAGTCGTAGTGTTTATATGCCCAATGGGGTTACATGAATGTTAATTTATATGTATAGATTATTATGCTATAATGCATGTTTATAAACCTTTAGTCAAATATATATAATTGTAAAACTATGCATAATTTATCATATATGAATACAATATTTTAAAATTAATAAATTAAGCTGTTAGTGTTTAATATATTTTTAATAGAAAAATTGTAAACACAACTACTCAATAAATACTACATAAAAATAATAAGAAATCTTATATCCTCCCTATATATAATTAAAAAAACATAACTTTTCTCAATTCAACATAAGCAAATCAATGAAAATAATATATTTTTAAAAATTTTATGAACAAAAGTTGACTCGACAATATTATTAATGAATTTATGAATTGTAAATATTTAATTAAAAAAATTATAATTAAAAATATAATATAATATAATATATACAAATATTTGATATATAATGAGGCAGATGATCGAAAAAATTCTATACTTTACATTATGTCTTTTTTGACAAAATCTATAGTTAAGAAATGAGAAAGAACAAGATAAAGTTTTAAAAAAATAATAAATATAAGAAATAATATGAATAATAACTAAGTTGTGACACGTACTAATAAATATAAAACAAACTAATAAACAAAAATAATATAATTATTATAACTAAATATAAACCTTCTAAAAATATACTTATCGATGTAATCGAACTGAGTTGTGAAACGCTTGTTAGTTTTTCGTTCTTATTAATTTTATGTGTAAATTGAGGTGATAGACAATAGTTATTTGTACATTTATACATGTAGATTAGAAGAAAAAAAATCTTTATTATTCTAATTTTAAATAACTTTTTTAATTATTTACTATATT